TTCTCTTGGAGATTTGTTTTGGTCTTTGTTCAATGGAACTGTAAACTGGCTTTGAATAATTTGGTTCATTTGAGCAATGGATCAACCAAAATAGCATGCACAGCATAGAACATTTCAACTTTCTATCCATCTAAATGAATCCTAAATCCCCATATCTTTATTGAGGGAACAATCAAAACCTAAGTGATCCTGTGGACCTTGCTTTTCACATATTTGTTAACCAGAATGTAGAATTGAGACCTTCTCTTTCATTTTCTTCTKATTCAACATAGCCTACTTATTTTGTCCTTGAGATATATTCTTCAACARAACCAGTTTAAATTAATTCACCTTATATCTTCTTGCATTCATGTGGTTGTTCTCAACTTACTAGATATTCTTCCAAGGCACTAATATACATTTGAATTTTGGTCCCTCATACAAACCAGGAGGATATTTGCCCTTAATCTGCGTTTGAAGATTGAGAGGCTGATTCTTCATTTTGAAGTCAATGGTYATTGAGAAGGAATCTAAGACTTCTAGAGAATATGCTCATGAACCATGTTGAAAATTTGGAAAGAGGAAGTCAGGTTTAGCAAAATAAAATGGTCTTTTCTTAACTTTCTCCTGAATATAGTCATCACACTTAAGCAAGTACGAACTTCTTATCTACATAAAAACACCTTGTTCTGCATGATTTACGCTTATTATATAAAATCATGTAATTTTCTTACTAAAAGATCCTTATAGAGGATGATATTGTAGCTCAAAAGTGTACATAATCTTGCAATCAATCTTATTAGTTAAATGTACTTTTTCAYTGGATCTTTCCCATTGAAAGTATYAAGAGGCTGATTCTTGATTTTTATGTCAATGTATCAGTGAAAATGAATCTAATATTTTCAAAGAATATGGTCATAGACCACACTAAAAATTTTGAAAGAGGAAACTAAATTTAGAAAAATGTAATTATCTTTTGTAAGATCTACTCTTGAACCACTAAACTTAGGAAAGACTAACTTTTCATTTACAGAAAATGCCCTGTTCTGCATTTACACTTATTATATAGAAGCATGTTATTTTCTTACTAAAAGGATCCTTAATAAATGGTGATTAAAGCTCAAAAGTATACATAATCTATTATCCAATCTAGTTAGTTAAGTGCACTTATTTATCACTGGATCTTTCTCATTGCATGATACCATATGCTTGATCATTTATTGTGATCTAAAACACTCTGTTTTGCAAGTTCTTGTTCCAGAAGTCGTGCATCAGGTCTAAATTGATTGGTCCAATTTTTCCTCCAATCTATAAACATACTCTAATTGTAATATCCGCAACCATTCTTGTAATAGATTCTAAATTAGTGTGACTAGGGACTTTCTTTGATGATTAATAGGCAACCCTACTTCTCGCTTATGTTTTATATTTTGAATCAGTATTAACTTTTTCAGAAATATACTTCACTTTTTTATGCAAAAGATAATCAATATTCATTTGAAGAGTGAAGTTGTTAACACTTGACAATAAATAGTATATTTTGTAAAAAGCGATGCTCAAAAGTCTAAATCTAATGCTTATATGGTTTTAGATTGTCATATTTTCACCATCTAGTTGTTTTCTTRCATGATTTAATACAGGCTGAAGCATRGAAGCATACACTCCTTCTATCATTTCAGAGCCTAGGAGTAGTTTATGGTCRCCTAGGTATTGCTCCACTCTATGTATTTGGGACAATTTGCATAGAGGATATCAAATCTGAGGAGGGTTTATATGGACTACTTTCCTTTGTGTTCTGGACAATGACTATCATTCCTTTWGTGAAGTATGCCGTCATTGTCCTGAGAGCTGATGATAATGGAGAAGGTAATCATATTTAGGACAAGTATTTTCTATTCCTAGTTTATTTATCATCCTTTAGAGCCTTGGCCATCAAACACCAAATTGACCAATCTGTGCAGGTGGTATATTTGCTTTGTACTCATTGTTATGTAGGCATGCCAAAGTGGGTTTTCTGCCAAGTCATAGAATTTCTGATGAGATTCTAAATTATGAGATGGGAAGCCTTTCGAAGACCAAGGTTGACTCTAGAGCTAGAAGAGCAATTGAAAAACATAAAAGTAGTCACTATCTTATGCTGTTCTTGGCATTATTTGGTTCCTGYATGGTGATTGGKGATGGAGCTCTAACTCCAGCTATTTCAGGTCCGGAATCCTGATTATAATTATCTTAGTTGTCTTGGATTTTTGTTGCACAGTTACATTTTTCTGGTCATCCTTTTAGTTACTTCTATTGATGACGCCTAACTTGAAAGGAGCTTATTTGTTTCTTCTCTCCTTCTAGTTCTGTCAGCTTCATCAGGTCTTGAACAATCATTGTTGGATATATCAGATCACTGTAAGTGACCTCAATCAAGCGAGACAGATA